ATTATTATAACAATATTGCTTATACTTGACTTCAGAAGTCTTGAGAATAGCGGAACTCGAAAAATCTTTTGGATATGCTTGACTGTGGCTATTCACAAGGAGCATTTCTTTGCAGAGCTGCGATGCAAATGAAATTTGTTTCGAACCGCATTTCGGATTTCTGTTGCAGCTGCTGCTCTGTTTATTTATTCAATAGGCTTAGCTCTGGACATTGTTTCGTACATATTTTGATTTAATTTGCATTGCTTTTTCTTTAGCATCTGGAACTAGCTGAGATGCAACTAATGCCAAAAGTTTGCATTGCGAGTTGGAGCAGAGGAAAGGCAAGCGTGGGTGCTGTTGGCTCCACTGGCTGGCTTAAGCTGCCATAATAATTGCATTAGCTGACAGTTGCCAGTTGCTTCAGCCTCTTTCAGCTTGGCCCTTTCCCTCCCTTTGTAGCGAGCCACGTGCCAGGGCCAGACATAAATTAGCCAAAGAGTAGAATGAAGTATCTATATGTCTGCGTATATATGTACATGTATATTATAAATATGTGGCTATTTGTGTCTGTGTGTGGCAATTTAGTGCTGACATTTATGTGAAATGCCCATTTAAGTGGTTCAAGCCCTAACTGATTGATGTCGCCTTCGACCGCCTCTCATTGCCACCCGGCGAACCATTCAGCACACATTTGCATAACGAAATCTGTGTGGGACAGTTTGTGGAAGGACTGTAGAGAGTCTATTCATACAAGGACCGAGGGTAGTTTATAAGCTTCTTCATATATATAATGTTTTATAAAGGAAAACTTATTACAGAATGATTGGAACTTTCTGTTTATTTCTTATTTCCGATTTGTGCATCCAGACTTTAGTTGAAAGTTGAAAATGACGAAAACCCCAGATTGAAAGGATATTGAATATATTGAATATAAGATTTTATTTTTTTTGATGTCTTTTCATATTTTCTCCTCTCATGTCTGTTGTCTGCAATTGATATTATTAATTATTCGAACGGCATTCATTTCATATTCATTTTGAGACCCATTCGTGTTTATTTTAAACAATCTTTTCGCCCTGAATCACATTCTTTTCAGTATCCGATTTACCCAACTAATAGGAGTTCGTTGTGCGCCCATCCTTGGAATTGGCGAATGCTCGCGTACAGCTCTTATATAGGAGCAAACGGAAATTCACCTTTGGTGAACTTTTTAAAATCCAGCAACAAATTTCGACCGTGACACATTCGTTTAATGTTTCCTGTTATTTCAATTTTGCTTTTGTTTTATACTCGTTCATAAAGTGAAACGAATTTATCCTTGAATCCTATTGAAGGGAATGGGCTGAAGATATACGTTTTAAAGTAGAAATATGTTTTTATGGCCGTTGAAAAACCCAGATATTAGTTAAGAGTTTCTCAGCTTGGCTAAGCAGTCAACGCGATCCACATGTTTGTCTATGCATATCACAAAGGACATGCGATTGTTGGCGCTCAATAAATCACCTAAATGAAGATCACACCAATATACATACATATACACATATTCACAATGAATCAGATTCAATGAAGGTTCTCTTAATTCTTATTAAGGTAAGTAATTTTAGAAAATCTTGTAGCTAAAAATCAACTTAATAACTAAAATGTCTTTTACGTTGT